CTCCCTCTTTCCCTCTCTCTCTCCCTCTCCCTCCCTCCCTCCCTCTCTCTCTCTCACAGGGCCTCTGCATGGTGATTGGCGGCATCCGACACCAGGAGCAAAGGTTCAACAGCCGATCGGCCGGGATCAGCTCTGCCCTCCTCTTTCTGTCGGTGGGAGGTGAGGCCTTGGGGGGTCCAAACCCCCTTTCACGCTTTCAGGGGGGTTTTTTTGTCCTAGGGAGGCTCCGATTGTCTCAGGTTCAGAATGCAGAGCTGAAAGATCGCAGTTTGAGATCACCCTTAATGGACGATGCTTCTGGTCAGGCTGGAAGTGGAAAATACCAGCAGTGATAATGATTGAAATACAGGATGGATGGATGGTTGGATGGACGGATGGATGGTAGAAAGGATAGATAGATGATAGATAGATAGATAGATAGATAGATAGATAGATAGATAGATAGATAGAGATGGAAAGAGAGAGATAGGGATAGATAGATAGATAGATAGAGATAGATCGAGATAGATAGATATAGAGAGGGATAGATAGATAGATAGATAGATAGATAGATAGATAGAGATGGAAAGAGAGAGATAGGGATAGATAGATAGATAGATAGATAGATAGATAGATAGATATGGATGGATATAGATAGATGGATATAGATAGATTGATATGTAGACGGGGTATGTGGAGAGATGGATAGATTGATAAGATGATTGGATTGATGCATCCAGATGGCTGGATGATAGATAGATAGTGAGAGATGAGAGATGATGGGATGGATGGATGGATGGATGAATAGATAACCGATACATATGCATCCCTGTCCAATTAAAGAATAAAATGAAAAGATAAAGAAAATTACGTTTAAAAAACAAAAACACCCAAGGAGCTGGGATCCAGACTGCGGCACACGGGATTTTCTGTGCTGTGCCAATCAGCCAATTGCCCTGTGACCTGGATGGTTTTGGCATCGCTGGTGAGCGCTCCTCACCACCTTCCTTTTACTTCCCTGCCAGGTGTGTTTGCCCCGACTCTCTTCTCCAAAGTCTACGGGAGGCTGGTCTGTGGGGAATGCCAGAATTATACCCAGCAGGATCCCCCCGGGCACTACGTCTGCCAGAGCTGCCACTTCGATTTGGTGAGCGAGCCCTTCCTGCGCCATTTCAGCCGCCGAGGAAAAGCGTTGCCTTGGCACCTGCCCACTGTGTTGGGACGGTGGTCCCCAGGTGGGCTGGGGAGGCTTGGATTGGTAGTCCCGGCACACCTGAGGGTCTTAAGGTGGCATCAGCTGGTCAGTTTAGAAGAAAACAGTTTGTTGGGTTGCTTTGGGGGGGTGTCAAAGGAGGTTTGCATGTGGGGGTCTTGACTGGCCATCTCCGACTCTTTTCTTTGGTCTTGGTAGATGGAGAACAACGGGACTCTCTACTACAGCCATATTGAGTGAGTAGCTCTTGCTGGGAAGTGTTATGTTGTATTGTGTTGTGTTACGTTACGTTACGTTACGTTACGTCATGTCACATTATATATTATGTTGTGTTGTGTTGTGTTACGTTACGTTACGTTATGTTATGTTATGTTATGTTATGTTACATTATATGTTATGTTACGTTATGTTACGTTACATTACGTTACGTCACATTATATATTATGTTGTGTTGTGTTACGTTACGTTACGTTACGTTACGTTATATATTATGTTATGTTACGTTACGTTACGTTAAGTTATGTTATGTTATGATACTATATTATGTTATTTATTATGTTATGCTATATATTATATATTATATGTTTATGTTATATGTTATATATTATACATTATATTATAATAATTATAATATAATCGTTATAATTATTATAATTAGACTACATATCATTATGTTAATTATATAATTAATTTATATTATTAAAATAAAATAATAAATAATATAATTATATATTATATTATATATTATTTTATTGTTTTATTTTATTTTATTACTTTATCTTATTTTATTAACTTATTTTATTAGAATTATATGTTAATATTATAATTATATTATTATTTTATATTTTATTTTATTGTTTTATTTTATTTTTATCTCTATGTTCATTTATTTGCACGCCGCCTTTATTACATTTACAAATGACTCAAAGTGGCAAACATATTTATTTATTTATTACATTTCTGTGCCATCCCTCTTCCTTATCTCTAGGTAGCTTACAAATGATCCAATACAACTTTGTGATTTTCCTCACAGCCACAACCCCGTAGGTGGGCTACGCTGAGAGAGAGGGACTGGCCCAAAGTCACCCAGCCAACTTTCATGGCTCATGCGGGACTAGAACTCACCAACTCCTAGACCAAACTAACTCTCCACGTTGACATGCTCTTCCTCCCTTCCAATGATTGGTCAGAAGAGTTGGGGACTTCTTTGTGCAACCTTGTTCTGACAAAGCACTTAGTTTAGCAACCCATCAGATCACCTTAGTAGAGCTAGTCGCATGCTGGCTGGGGAATTCTGGGAATTGAAGTCCACAAGTCTTAAAAGTGGCCAAGGTTGGACACCCCTGGTCTACGCTCTGCCTGAGCCAAACTTCTCCAAAGTGGGAGCCTGTAGACGGCTGGGATTACAATGACCAAACCCCAGCTGTCAAGGAATATGGGAGCTGTAGTCCCAGCCCATCCAGAAGGCCCCCCACCCAAATCAGGAAGTTAGTCAAAAACATTTCTGGCTCGGTGGATAGTCCTGGGGAAGGAAACCAACTAAGGAGAAAAACAACCTGGAATTAAACTTCCTGACAGGGAGGACAATTATCCAGTGGAACTTCTCGCCACCAGGAGTAGTCGGCGCTCGATCACTGGAGGTTTTTAAGAAGAGAGGAGACCAGAAGTCTCTAAATTTGGCAACTTTTAAGACTTGTGGGGTTCAACTCCCAGGATTCTCCAGCCAGCCGCGTCCATTTCCTTTTTTTCTCTTAACCTCTAAAGTGGAGAGAGATTGCAGAGGACGGGATTACAAGAGAGCAAGCTGGGCTGGCTGGAGAATTCTGGGAATTGAAGTCAATTGCCAAGTTTGGGGACGACTGGACTCGGTGGACACTTGTCTGGAATGGGACAGAGACTGCTGCTTGAGCGAGGGGTTGGACTAGAAGATCTCCCAGGTCCCTTCCAGCTTCATCGTTCTATATTCCTCATCTTGCTTTCTCACATGACAGACCTCTGGTGTACACGGTGTCCTTGATGCTCCCGGCTGCATATTTCATCGGGCTCGTCTTCACCCTGAAGACTCACTCCCACATCTACGACATCCTCATCAGCGACTGCCACAGTAAGTTGTCTCGGCCCCTTGAGGGCACCGGTCACTAAACAGAGTTCGGTTGTAAGTTGAGGATTGAATCCGTTGCCAGTCATCTTTTGTGGATCTTTTTTGACCCACGGTTGTAAGTGTGGAAAACGGTCCTAAGTCGCTTTTTTTCCCAGAGCCGTTGTAACTTCGAATGGCCATTAAACAAATGGTTATAATTCAAGGACCGCTTGGCCTTTTGGGCAGGGCAACCCAGGTGTGTCGGAGGGACTTGTCCATCGGGAACAGGGAATTTTCAATCCAACTTTCCTCAGTTTGACTGCAACCTGTGACCTGAGCCCTACTTTCCTTCCACCTTGTGAGAAGTAAGAATTATCCCGGTAAATGACAGACCAATAGTAACCCCATATCTGGTCCTTATTTCACCTAAGAAGCTCTAAGGAGGCGTTATTAAGTAAGACATGGTGTAAGAAGGTTCACTTGTAAGACAATAACAAGGCTATCAAAGTTTTGAAATTGATGAAATTTTGGGCTTGGAGAACCTTGAACTACGCCGCCTACGGTTGGACTTAAGCGTAATACACAAAATTATCTGCTACAAGGTCCTACCAGTCAGTGACTACTTCAGCTTCAACCGCAACAATACAAGAGCACACAGCAGATACAAACTCAACGTAAACCGCTCCAAACTCGATTGCAGAAAGTACAACTTCAGCAACAGGGTGGTCAATACCTGGAATGCACTACCTGACTCTGTTGTTACATCCTCTAACCCCCCCCACTCCTTTAACCTCAAACTATCCACTATTGACCTCACCCCATTCTTAAGAGACCTGTAAGGGGGTGTGTATAAGTGCACCATCGTGCCTACCGTCCCTGTCCTATTGTCCCCATTTATTCGTACCTGTTTCCTATATTCTTACTCATGTTTTTAATACTTATACCTATTCTCTTGTAAGCGACTGACAAATCAAATAAATAAAAATAAAATAAAAAATAAAATAAAATAAAAAAAATTAGCGTATTTCCAGTTAGGACATTAATTGCAGTGGTGGGATTCAAATAATTAACAACCAGTCCTCTGCCCTGATGATTTCTTCCAACCACCAGTTCACCAAACTGCTCAGAAAGTTAACAACCGGTTGAATCCCACCAATGATTAGTTGGCAGGTCAAGGGAAAACGGTTGGCAGGTCAAGAAAACAGATGCTATGCTGACGTTAATCATGTTAACCACAGTTTAGAGGGAAATGCAGAAGAGAGAATTAGAACTAGAGAGACAAGGGGGTAAAAAGGGGGAGGGAGAAGATGTTTGACTTGTATTTTGTGTGTTGAAAACCCAAATAAAACGTTATTTTTTAAAAAATAACATTAACCACAGTTGGATGTAACTGCCCAAGAGGATGGAGAGAATAGGATAGGATAGGATAGGGTAGGGTAAGGAAGGGTAGGGTAGGGTAGGGTAGGGTAGGGTAGGGTAGGGTAGAGTAGAGTAGAGTAGAGTAGAATAGAATAGAATAGAATAGAATAGAATAGAATAGAATAGAATA